GCAGCTGCTTGTGGTGTGCAGCGGTGTGCGGTGCTGAGTGACATTCACCCCTCTGTTGCAGGAGAGAAGCCGTTCAGCTGCAGCTGGCAGGGCTGCGAGCGCAGGTTTGCGCGCTCTGACGAGCTGTCCCGGCACCGGCGCACACATACCGGGGAGAAGAAGTTTGCCTGCCCCCTTTGCGAGCGGCGCTTCATGCGCAGTGACCACCTGACCAAGCATGCGCGGCGCCACCTATCAGCCAAGAAGCTCCCGAACTGGCAGATGGAGGTGAGCAAGCTCAGCGACACCACTCTGCCGCCGGCACCTGCACCTGCACCTGCACAGTGACACTTGGGACCATGAGGTCACAACTCACTTTGCCACAATTGAGCTGGATGGAGCACCAGGGCTTCTCCAGATCTGGCCCATGTGGGGGCTGGAAGCAGGGATCCAGCCTGGGGCAAAGCCCAGCCTGGGCAGTGGCTGGAAGGGCTGCAGATACCCGCAGGTCCTAGTGCAGTGTCACTGCTGTCATGTGAAAGACCAGGAGGCTCTTGCTCCTTTGAGCAATCATCTGGGTCTCTAGGGGAGGTCACAGTGCTGCAGTGGTGCAGCTTTGAATCAGCGAGTGCATTGGTCACTTTTCCATGGCCTTGACACCCAAGAAGGGTGTTTGGATGTGATCCCTCTGAGCCCCGTTCCGGAACAGAGGCCTCGGTTGACGTTGCGATACAGAGACGAGCTCAGGCCAGCGGCGTCAGCACATGCACCCCGCCAGCCTGTGATCGGCCATTGCCGCACCCCGGGTTCAGGTGCTTATTGCAAAGGATGCCAGCATCCCGCAGGCCCTAGCCCCTGGGCTGGAGTGGCTCTGTAGAGGGGAAGGGGCCCGGAGTGCTGGGGCCCTCGTTGATTTAACTGCTTTGAAGTGGAGCTGCAGTTTTTTGCATTATTGTTTTGAGATGACTATTTAGGCATTTTATTATGCTTTCAACTTTAGTTTGCCTGCAGTTTCTTGTGTGCACCTGAAAATTGTATCCCAATGTGTTTTCTGTAGACTCTCAGATAAGTTGCACTTTGTTTAGAAAAAAATCTGAGATGCGTCCATTGTGTAAAGAAGGGATGGCAAGAATTCTAGGTGACTCCTTTAAAAGGGCCGCAGAGACCAATATGGTAAGGTCGTGTGCATCACGGAATTGGAAACTATGATTCTGTGGGCAAAGTCCTGCCAGCTCTAACTCACAGGAGTTTTTCAGAAATGTGGAAGGAGCAAGTTGAACATTTTTAGAACATTCAATTTTGTTAGCAGTATTTCTGTTATATTTTGTGGTGTAGTGGGTGATACACATAGGGGGGTAAATTGTTTGGAACACATGGTGAAAAATGTCACTATCTGCACATTTAAAATTTTGTCTATATGACTGTAGATTTCTGACATCAAAAACGCAGACCCTTAGTAGAATTTTCTGTTAGTTGAAAATCTGGTGACAATTTGCACAGTATTTCTTTTATTGTACTTGTTTCCAATAAAAAAATTCCCTTTGTTATATGCGCTGGACTTGTTGACTTTTTTTTTTTCTGGAACTGGGGATTGAACTCAGGCCCTTGTGCTTGCCAGGGAAGCGCTTATTCTACTGAGCCATCTCCCCGGCCCTGACTTCTGTTTGCCTTTGATAAAGGGTCTCACTATGTAGCCCAGGTCAGTCTTGAACTCAGAGCTGGGATTATAGTGCTCACCACCACACCTGGTGCCAGAGTAACACAGTGATGTCTCTGGCTCTTGTTCAGTAGTAAAGGGGCTCCATGCTGATGAAGTGACATCCCCTGTTGGCAGTGGGACACCTCAGGCACGCGGGTCCTTCCTGGGAGTGAATTTAGGCCATAGGCTGATTCAGCTCAGTGCAAGCACAAGAGATGGCACCACTCCCATAGGAAGAGCTGGGGAGCCAGGCCCGGTGGCACACACCTGTAATCCTTGCTGTCAGGAGGCTGAGGCAAGAGGATCGACACAAGTCAGAGACCAGCCTGGGCTACCTAGGAACTCCAAGGCCAGCCTGAGCTACTATAGCGAGACCCTGTCTCAAAAAGGCAAAAACAGGCATGCAATCCTGTTGTGGGCTGAGAACATCCTGCAGGGTTCCCGCCCTGACCACTGCTTTGGAGTCTGGCTCACAGGCCAACGCCAAGGTAAGGAGCAGTCTGGTACTCCTGGACCCACTGACACCAGTGTCCAGGCCACCTGTGCTCTGAACCCCACCTCAGTGGGACATCGGTCAGGAACCCAGGCCACCCTGACACCTGAGTCTTTGGTGTCAGTGTCCAAGTGGAGGTGGAGGAACGCAACAGAAGCGCCTTGCACAGCCCCCACCCCCAGCCAGGCTGCAGTGCAGACAGTGGAGGATGCCACTCACTATGCCTCCTCCTGGCTGGCATCTGAGCCTGTGAGAGTTGAAGGTAGAGGCCCTGAGGCTGGTCCCCAAGTGGTCTGTAGCATCTTAGGGTGGGGTCTGTCAGTGCTCTGTTCCCTAACGGGAAGCAGCTGCCAGGTTCCAGGTGCCTTACAGCCTTTTGAGATGAAAATTTGTTATCCCAGGATTTGGGAGACTGTGCCAGGAGGAGCCCCATGAATCAATTGTAGGCAGCTGAATTAGAAATTTTATAGGCAGTCAGACCTATAATACCAAGGAACTGTTACAGGTCCTGAGGGAGACAGTACGGAACACAAGACCTCGCAACTGTGGGAGAGACAGTCTACTGTGGGCCAGACCTCAAGACAAAAGATGAATCAAATGCAGCCACATTCTTTCCAAGGGATGGGAACCAGGGATTGGTATTCTGAATAGGTATCAATCACCTTAAAAGACCTTCAAGTGCCTGGTAAACCAAGGTCCTGAGTTCCATCCCCAGAATCAAAAGAACAACAACAAAAAAGCCAGGAAGAGCCACTAACCCAACCCCCTCCAGGAAGAGCCCCTGCTCTGTATTCAGACCCATTTGCTCCGTGCCTTGTGACTCGCTTCACCATCTGACCCCGATTTAATCAAGTTTACCTGAGCACTTGTGCTTGAAGTCTTACTGGCTGACCATAGTTTTGTCCCATCTGATGCCCACTAGTTGAGTTCTCATTCTCCATCGTAGGCTGGCCTCACCTTGTGGTTTTGCCCTAGAAATATCCCAAGAAAAGGCAGGTTCCTCGGGCAACACACTTGAGTCCCCTTTGTCCCTCTCTCAGATAGAAACTTTCTTCCCCCAATAAATATAGTCTTTCATTGTTCCTAAAATTCATTCTCTGGTTTTAGAGAACATGAACTTGGCCCAGGTGTCTTTCAGGTCAGGCATTTCATTCTGCTACATCAAATTAGAGTTCAGCCTGGGCCCCAGTGAGGTCAAGGCCATCCTGGGCTACAAAAGGAAGACCTGGTCTGTGTTGCATGCATCTCCCCTGGGACCAGCGACCTTTCAAGGGTTTGGTGGCCACAGGTGGCTGCTGGCTACCTCGTGGGCCTTGAGGACCCCGCGTGCATGCGCACGCGTGCACACACACACGCCCCTACCCTACTTGCTGCCTGGTTCTCTGCCCTGCATCCAAGCTGGGAGCATTCAAGGGCGCTACTCTGTGACCTGAGAATGGGGCGGGCTGCCCTGAAATTACCAGTCACCGCCCCGAGGGCTGTGGAGTTGCTCTGTGTCCCTGGGGATAGGCCAGGGAAGGCTTCAGAGGGCTTGTTTCTGTCCCTGTCTCCTGCTGAGCACTGAGCAACCTGGAATATCCAACCCTCCGCTTGAGTTCTCCTGGGAAGCAGAACCAGCTGCCCCGTTCACAGCGCATCTCCTGTGTGGGACACTGTACGGGGACAGGCATCAACTCTAAGGCCCCAGGATCTAGGCCTGGTGAGTGCTCAGCAGCCCTAGCTCCACAGGCACACAGAAGAGCAGAGTCACGCTCCACTGGCAGCACGCAGGCCTGCTGGAGCAGAGCGAGCTCCAGCGACCCGTTGTTTACCTGGGCGAGTACTGTAGCTGGCAGTGATAGGTTTTTTTCAGGTGCCTTGTGCAGCAGAGAAACAGGCAGAAGGAAGAAGAGAAAGGGGCTTTATTACCTTTGAGGACACGAGAAAATGTGGGGAAGACAAGGAATCGTCTGGATTGGAACAAAGGGCGGCTGAGGCTTTCATGGCCTTTTGCTGGGGTGGGGCTTGAGGGGGAGTTTAGGTAGACCTGAGGAGCTGATGGGGGCTTCCCTGAGCCGGGGAAGGGTGGAAGGAAAGTGCACCCTGGCCTAAGTTGGAGAAGGGGGGTCGTCTTTGGGAGATGAGCTTTTGTTTTAAGGGCATCAGTCATATTAGATGACCACCCTGATGATTTAGCAATTTATAGAGGGCCAGAACCTATCAGCAGGAGGCAGGTGACTCTTGTGCCACCCTGCCCCTGTGCCTAAGGAAATAAAAGTGAGGTGTGCAAACACTCAGGGGCTCTGTCCACTAGAGGCAAATGCTCCCGGCCCGCTTTCTAAGTTAATTCTGTGTCTTTTGGTCTTTCATCCTTGTTTGCCCTCCTGGTCCACGTTAAACTCACAGGCTGGTTTCCTATAAGAAGCACGGTGCAAGGCCAATGAGATAGCTCAGCAGACTAAAGCTGCCTGCTCAGGCAGGCGCAGGGACTGCAATTCAATTCCCAGCACAATATGCTGTGTCAGCCAGGGGCGGGCTGAGCCAACCAGCCAAAAAAAAAAAAAAAAAAAAAAATCAAAAGAAACACAGCACAGCCATGTCCAGCAGGGCAAGGGCAGCCAAAGACATGGTCCCCTGTGGCCTGAGCAAACTGACCCTCAAAGTTAACCATCGTACCTGGCATCCGGTGCTGGTTATGCTGCGTCTGCTCTAGCATGGCCCCCAGAAGCCCCGTGTATCAGAAGTGAGGTTCTCAGAGGTGATTGGATCGTGGGGGCTCTGGGCTGATGCACTTGTGAGGACCTAGGGAATGCTGTTATTAGGAGCGGGCCCTGCTGGGGTGTGACCTGAAGTTGCTTCCTCCCTTCTCTTGCTGCTTCCTGGCTGCTGCTCTGTGATCAGTTTTGCTCGGCCAGGCCCTCCACCCTGCCCTGGAGCAGCTGGCCATGGACTGAACCCTCCTAAACTGTGGCCCAGTAGACCTGCTCCTCCTTCAGGCTGTGGGTGTTGGGAAAGCTCTTGGATCGGCTAATCCGGCAAGAACCAGTTTATTGCTTGGGAGGGAAGCTGCTTTCTTATTCTAAGTCTCGGTGTCCAACTCTAAAAATGAGACTAAAAATGAAAATGGAACTATGCACATCTGCCCTATCAGCTCACCGAGCCACTGGCAAGTTTAAGTAGGTTATTCCCAAAGAGTCTTGGAAAACAACGCAGTCTGTGTTAGTGCTGTTCTTACACCACGTGTGGGACATATGGATGGTGGTGGATCTATCTGCCCATTCAGTGGCCACCTACTCTGAGAAAGGGAAGCCACTTGGAATTAGATGTTTAAAGAATTTTTATATCTAGGGCTTCTGTGCTTATAATTAATTAGTAGGTGACCCAAAATTTGTAGATCTCACTGCAGCAAGTGAGTGAAAGGAAAAGCACAAAGTATAAAGCTGAGGTTATCTGCTAAGTTGTGCTAGGCGTGGGGACTCAGTTGATTGAAAGCCACAGCTTGGGCAGAGCCCCCCATCTACACTGAGTTTCCTGCGTCCCCTTAGCTCTGCTTGAGCCCAATTGGAGTGGACATCCTGTGTCAGCTCAGCTGATCCCTGAAAAACTGCCTGATCTTGGCTAAATACAGTAAGAAGTTATGCCCAGAGCTCTAGGGATCAAAATCCCAGGAGAATGAGGGCCCATGGGAGGGAAAAATCTCTTCCCCTAGGAAAGCTGTCAGGCCACCCAGGGTGAGGTCCATCCATGGAATGTGGCTCCCAATCAGCACACACTGAACTCTGGCCCCTTGTGAGCTCAGCTATGGCCTGTTCAGCAGAAAGAACAAAACAAAAGGGGCTGCCAGCTCCAGCTCCCCTGCCAGGGGGCACCCTGCTTGCCACAGAGCTCTGGAAATCTGTGGCTGTCCGCTATGGCAGGAGTTCCAGTGTGATCTCGAGTGACCAGCGTAGCCACAGGATGCCCAGATACTCTAAAATATAAAAAGGCGGTGGTGACTCCACTGTTCTTCTTTTCTTTCTTTTTTTGTTCTTATTTTCTTGAAATATTTTATTTTATTTATTTATTTTGATACTGAGGATCGAACTCAGGACCTTGCACTTGCCAGGCAGGGACTTATACCACTGAGCTATCTCCCCAGCCCTTCTTCGAAATTTTTAATTTTTAATTCCAAACTCAGCTACTGCTCAGGGCAAGCAAAGGCTGCATTTGGAAAAATCGCTGTGAAATTCTTTGAGAAAAATTAAAACTTAAGAAATAATGTGAAGTTAAGAGAGAGACAAACAGAGCTGAGCTTCTCTGAAATGAGTTTCCTGTTTTTCTGATTAGATTATCAGGGCCTAAATATTAATTTCAAAAAGGCCCCCTTCTTGTACAACTGGG